TTAATCTCAGGAAACAAACTGAGGGTTGCTGGAGTGGTGGGGGGTGGGAGGGATGGGGTGGCTGGGTGACAGATGGGGGAGGGTATGTGCTATGGTGAGCGCTGTGAATTGTGCAAGACTGTTGAATCACAGATATGTACCTCTGAAACAAATAATACATTATATGTTAAAAAAAAGATAGTAGGAAGGGAAAAATGAAGGGGGGGAAATTGGAGGGGGAGACGAACCATGAGAAACTATGGACTCTGAGAAACAAACTGAGGGTTTTAGAGGGGAAGGGGTGGGGGGATGGGTTAGCCTGGTGATGGGTATTAAAGAGGGCACATATTGAATGGAGCACTGGGTGTTATATGCAAACTATGAATCATGGAACACTACATCAAAAACTAATGATGTAATGTATGGTGATTAACATAACAATAAAAAATTTTTAAAAAGATAGGCTAAAATCAATTTTTTCCTTTTCTTCCAGTAAAAAGTAGGTTACTCTTAAAAAGACACAGAAATGAACAGAAAACTAAGTAATACTAAAAGATAAGAGACCAGATCTGATAACAACTCACATCTATTGAGTGTTACACATTATATGTTACCCAGTATTTTGACCCTTACAGGACTCTTGAGAGGGAGTTCATATTATCATCTTTATTTTTACTCGAGGGAATCTGAGGTTTAAAGTGGTTAAGTACCCTGTGCCAGGTAAGATAGCTGGTTAATTGGGAGAACTATTCGAATCCAGGCAGTCTGAATCCAGAGCCTTCATGTTTAACCATTAACCAGTACATGCATAATATCTACAAATATATAAACACATATTTATAAATCTACAAAGCTAAATGTTGGTGAAAATTCAGTGGAAAAGGCAGGATTTAAATGTTGAGAGGAGCAAAAAGGGGCAAGGGAAGGCTTTCTTTTTTATATCAGGTTGAGAGACTGAAAGGGTTTGAGAAGATTGCTTGCATTTTCTACATATATGGGTCTACCCACAATAGTCATCTTTGATCTGTTTCTTTTCCATAATGTGAAATAATAATAGTCCTTATCAGATAACTTTGTTGTAGGGGATTAAATGAATCAAAATACGCACAGCACTTAGAACTATGCACAATACCCAGAAAATAATGTTAGCTTTGATTATTGGGATTTTTCTTGAAAATGATATTAGTTTATATTTTACAGTACTATCTAAGGTAGAAGGTCTCAGAATTGAGCATGCATTGGAGTTATCTTCAAGGGTTATAAGAACAGATCGCTGGGCTCTACCCCCAGAACTCCTGATTTAGTAGGTCTGGAATGAGGTCTGAGAATTTGCATTTCTCATGAGTTCTCAGCTGGTGCTGAAGATACTGGTCCTGGGGCCACTCTTTGAGACTCACTGGTCTTAAGTTGCTTAATGTATCTGATTGAAACACAGGCCTGATATACCCATTTAGGGTGAAGCAGGAAGAGATTTGAAGTACCTCTGTTTTCTGGCAACTTTGCACATATATGTATATATATATTATATAATACATATAAATTTATAATATATAATTATATGTATCACACTTATATATAAATTGATAGAAACAGTTTGATTGTCTTGGCTGATAATAAAGGAAGTCCACTTTATGGTAAAAAGAAATTATGTAGCTTTGGGGAATTGGGTCAATTTAGAGTCCAAGGTGGATCTAATTCAAGCTATGTATCCTACGGAAGAGAAAACTTAGGCCCAGAGAGGTGAAATGATTAGCCTAAAGTTACCCACCTGGGAGAATGTCATTGCCAAGGTCAGACCTCAGTATTCTGACTCCCCGCAAAGTGCTTTCCACTAGATGTACTGCTTATCGGTAGCCTGTTTGAAGGACATAAATCATCACCCCAGGCAGCAGTGGTATCCATGCTGTGTGCGGGAGTAGTGCTGTATGCTCATGAATACTCCGGACTTGGTGAGAAAGTAGGGAAAGTCTTCCTCATTTCCTTGTTATATATATTCTCCATATTACCAGGGAGAATGTTCTACTGTGTCTAGAGATCAGCCTCAATAATCAGGTTGACACGTAGGCTCGCTTTCTCTACACGGCCCTCCAATTACTGTGTCCAGAATGACTCTTTTTAGCATATGGGGGTGTTGATCAGCATGGATATGACTGTCCTTAGCTCTCCTGTTCCCTGTTATAATCCAATGACAACAGATGTTGATACTGTAATGTTGTATCCTAGGTTGATCAAACAGCTACCTTTGGATCCTACTCTGAAGTGAAAAGGCTTCCGGCTTTTCAGTCGATACCCTGTTCTACACTATTCCAAATCACAAGGGGAGCAGCCCTGGGAAAATAATTCTCTCAAGGGAAAGCATGAAATTAGGTGTGAGAATTCTCCCCAGATTCCGGTCTCTTTTTTAGAGATGTTCCAGGTCTGAAGAAATAGAGAAAACTAAGGAGTAACCTAATTGTTTCTGTGGTCAACACGAAGTATACTGTGGGGGAAAACTGGCTGTTTCTGGGTAGAGTCTCCATTAGTGTTCCAATTATTTGGAGCCTATAAATAGGGGCCCTGGATTTAGAGGGGGTATAAGTAGTAAAGAATCAACCTTTCCCAATGAGAGTTCTGACCTTTGCCCTTGGATATCAGGAGGTGATCTCTAGGGCCCTGGAGTGTCCTGCTTGATAAGTGTCTTTGCTTGGGGGCTTTGGTCACCAGACAGTCTAACAATGTAATTTATGCTGGGGGCGTTCAGCCACACCGTATCTGTTCCAACCTCTAGAGGAACTAGGGACTAAAGGCATTAGTGTGACCTCTGAGAAGGGTCAGAGATGAAAGGTCAGAACATGGGCAGTGTGTGATTGAGTCCCAGTAAAAACTTGGGACATCGAAGTGTTAGACGAGCTTCTCTAGTTGGCAATACTCGATGTATATTGTTACACATCATGGCTGGGAAGGAGATAAAACCATCCATGACTCCACGGGGAGAGGATGACTGGAAGCTCCATCTGGATTCCTTTTGGATGCTGCCCTATGCATGCCTTTCCTTGGCTGGCTTTAATTTGTATCCTTTCAATGTTATAACGCTAATTGTAAGCATAGCACTTTGCTGAATTCTGTGTTGCTCTAGCAAATTAGCCAGTGTGAAGGTGGTCAGGGCCCCCAAATTTGTAGATAGCGGGCCTGAAGTGAGGTTGATTCTGGGGACTTCTGAACTTAGGCTGGAGTAGAAATGAGGCCAGTTTTGTGGGGATTGGTCCCTCAGACTTCACAGTTTGCTAAATTCATTAGGGTGCTAGTGACAGGATAACAGAACGTGAGGTAAGAAGATTTGAGTATTATTCATAGTGGGGAACTCTATGAAATCGGTGTTTAGGCGTTTGTATTTTGGAAAAGATGCATTTAAGGGGCACCTGCGTGGCTCAGTCGGTTAAGTGTCTGCCTTCGGCTCGGGTTATGATCCCAGGGTCCTAGGATCGAGCCCCACATGGGGCTCCTTGCTCAGCAGGGAGCCTGCTTCTCCCTCTGCCTGCTGCTCCCCTCCTGCTTGTTCTCCCTCTCTCTCTCTCTCTAACAAATAAATAAATAAAATCTTAAAAAAAAAGATGCATTTAAAAAAGTCTCTCCTAGATGGGAGGTAAGAGACCAATATCCTGGCAGGAAAATCCATTGCAGATCTGAGTGAGAGTCCAAATAGAGTGAATTTCAGCAAATTACTTCAAGCCTTAGATAAATGGAGCTAAATACAAGTTAAAAGTGATGATTTATGCAGAAATGTTTTAAAACTACCATATGTAAATGTGAAAGAACAAAATTTTTCGTGGGAAAAATCTGAGTATAATGGTCACAAACTGAGTTATACTGAAGGTAAGACTTTTTTTTTTTTTTTTTTGATATTTCCCCCCTCGGGTTACAAAGAGTCATTTCCCTGAGTTTTTTGGGCACATTTGTATATTCAAAATTTTAACTTGATAGGCAATCCAAGTTATCTCTAATATATTTTCCTGCGTGTGTTCCCAAGCAAAGGACTTTTATTTATTTATTTGAGATATAATCGACATATAACATTATATTTCAGGTATACAACATAATTCTTTAATATTTGTATAAACTGCAAAAATGAGCACAAGTTAACATCCATAACCCCACACAGTTATAATTTTTTTATGATGAGAACTTTTAGGATGTATTCTCTTAGCAACTTTCAAATGTAACAGTACAGTATTATTAACTACAGTCACCGTGCTGTATATTACATCCCCCAAACTTCATTATTTGCAAGGTACTTTCAGATCCAAAAAATTTAGGTGCTTAAGAAAAGTGGTTTCCATATTTCAACTTCTCCCCAGATTTCTTATCATTTCCCCAAAGTGTCTGACTTGTATTTCCCCCATATCACGGGTTCAAATTTTTCAGAACATAACATTTTAAAATGGTGCCTCAGTGTAAGATGGATTTTCGGAAGTTAAGGTTCTGGGGTGAGGTGTATGGTTTTGGAGTTTTACCAGAGGCAGAACGATCGAGCTTCTGGAGCGCAACCTCCAGGGTAAGGTACGGGGGCGGGGGGCGTGTTAGGCTCGTGGCCGAGGTCTGGGTGGGCATATTTGGGAGTTCTCGGGCGGGGGGACACTGCCCTCCTCACGCTGGAGGCATTCTGGGGGCGGCGCTCCTAAAAGGTGGGCGCGAGTGGATCGGCGCTGCTGGGCCTCGCTCGGAAGTGTCTTAGCTGGGCAGGGCCCAGAACGGCACGTTTCCCACCTGGATTAGGATGGTTCCGATGGGGTCGTAGCTTTCAGTCTCCTGTGCCATGGCTAGGGCGGGGGAGGGCTACCTCCCGAAGGAGGAGCGGTCTCCAGGTGTCGAAGACAGGGGCGGAGAGCGCTCGTCCCCATGGCAACCCCACGCGCAGCCCGGCCTATTCTACGTCGGGGGCGGAAGAAGGGGTGTGGGAGGAGTCAGGGTAGCGGGTTCCTCCCGTCAACGCGCCCTTCCTTGCGCGTCTCCCCCGCGCGCCGGCGGCCGTGGTGCAGCCCAGGCGGAAGCGGCTCTGGGACGGAACTGGCTTGCAGGCGCAGCTATGGCTGCTGGCGTTCCCTGTGCGCTTGTCACCAGCTGTTCCTCCACCTTCTCCGGAGACCGGCTGGTCCAGCGTGAGTAGCGGGGCTGCTGGGCCGACGTCCAAAACACCCGAATCTCGGCGGGCGGTGGCCTCAGAACCGCGGTCTCCCTCTCGGCCTTTGTCGCCGCCGCGGGCCCTGGGCTTTTCCTCCGTTCGGCGGGGGCCAGAGGCTCCTCGGGTGCCGCTCAGACCCGGTCCGGGTGTCCAGGTCCCGCAGCTGTCTTCCTCCTAGCTCTCACAGTCATTGCTTGTCTGCCTGCCCGGCGCGCTGTTGCTTTTCTTCCAGCTTTTTCTGCAAAGTAGGACTCATCCCTGCCCCGCCCAGCTCCTGGGTTGTTGCGGGCTCCTTGGAGATGAACCCAGAGGCGCTCTGGACATTGTACCGAGTTACCCGGGTGTAAGGTGCAGAAATTGGGATGCTTGTTGCGGTCCCTGCTCCTGAGGTGGAGAGTAGGTTTCCTCTTCGCTCTCTTGATGTACATGAGTTAGCCTTGTCCCCTCGTCTCCAGTTACTCTCTGCCCTGCCTTCCTCCTTAGGCGTAGGCTCTCGGGCAACATTAGCTTTCGGGTGTTTCTGGGCCCCGTTTCTTGGCCTCTGGACCTTCATGGTGGCTGTCAAACTAAGTAACTCTTAAAAGAAACCTTAGGCGAGACCAGTATAGTAGACAGCATGGGGCTGGGTCCTAGGCTCAACTTTTTCGGTAAAGGATTCTGTGAAGTTGATTGTAACCCAAGACACCTGTTTTAAATGCATGGCATTGAGTCAGAGCAGTGACTCTCAGCTGTGTGATAGTAAGCACACTTAACCTCCACCCTTCAGTTTTCTTATCTGTAAGATGGTGATGATTTTCACAGGATTGTTGTGCTTAACCCAGAGGCTGGCATAGAGTCAGCGTTCGATAAATGGTAGTCATTATTATTAAAGCACGTTATCTCTCTAACCCCCAGTTTCCTGGTCCTAAAAATGGGGCATATGAGCCTATCTCAGGATTATTTGAAGGACAGGTGACATTTTGAAAGCACTTTGTAAACTGTAAAGCGTCACACAGCCATATATATTTTTTCTGTACCTGTCAAATGACAGAATTAGGACATCCCTCCAACACAAATGTTCTATAAACTTAGTTAGCATTTGTGAGCACTTAAAAAGTTCTTTGCCAGGGTAGAAATTTAATTATAGCCCTTATTAAAAGGAGTAACTGCTCTATGCCTTTTCCTTACCCCTTAGTAGTGCTCCTCCCCATTTATTCCCTTTCTTTTCTTTTTAAAAGATTGTTACATTGTAAAAGTAGTGCATTAAGTAATATTTAGCATATCAAGAAAAGAGAATGTCAGCCATGGTCTCATCACACAAACACAAATACTGTGAACATTTCTGTGCATTTCCTTCAGTCTTTTTTCCAGTCTTTTATGTTAAAAAAAATTGTAATTACATTTCATACCTAATTTTTATCCCACTATTTTATGTATAATTTTTGTTCATTGTTTTTGTATATGTATATAAAAATTTAAAATATTTTTATTTTTAAATGTATAAATATATGCAAGTATGATTAACACATTTACAAAATGTATAAAATAATTTATATTTAAATTTTACATATAATATTTTGTGTATATATATTTTTGGGGGGGGAGAGAGAGAGGGTGCACGTGCATAGGGCAGTGGGAGAGAGAGAGAATCCTAAGCAGACTCCATGCTCAGCACAGAGCCCTGGGTGTGGAGGGGTTTGATCTCATAACCCTTAGATCATGACCTGAGCTGAAATCAAGAGTCGGACGCTTAACTGACTGAACCAGCCAGGCGCCCTTGTGTATAATTTTTATCCTGATATTTTTCATTTAACATTACATAATTTATGATGTAATATAAATTACTTTCCGTCATATATTTCCTCTAGTGAACATAAAATTTGCTCAAGATTCTTAAAATCCTTGGTGTATTTAACTTTATAAAATAATTACATGCATTTGGATTTCCATTACTGATATTTAAAAGTCCTTTCAAAGCCAATTTCAGAAATATTTGTTAAGTATTCTGACGGCTATGGTACTCCCCCTGTGCACTTTAAGGATCAGAATTGGCAGACATGGTCACTTCCTTGAAAGAGCTGATGACCTATAGTTGGCAAATAGTAACACTGTATTTCTTTAAAGTACATTAGCATCCTTATGGTAAAATTAGTTCTGTAAAATAATCCATTTTGTTTCTATATGTAAAATTCCTCTTAGATACATCAAAAGCCAACTTTTGTGTTTATTAAAATTAGGTGGCCTTTGTGATTCCATTAATGCTGTGTAGGGAAAAAATAAGAGCGGTTAGTGAAGACATTACTTGTACAGGGAGAAGTGAACTATAACAGAGGGCTTTATCATTTCTTCTCAGGTTATTGATAGGGTAGGTAGCACTAGACTGCAGTATTTGTTGAGCATTCATTCTGTTTTATTATAATTAAAGATTGCATTAAATTAATCATGAACTGAGTCTAATTTTGATGTAAGAGATGAAGATGACCATAATGAACGATGTTTGTCAAGTGTTCCGTGATATTAGGCCACAGTATGATTTTGAATTGAATCTGATCTTTTTTGGGAAGGTTTGGTTTCATTCATCAGGAAGAGGAACTAAGGGCTCTCCAGTTTCTTTCAGCATCTGATCTGTTTAACTGCTTTTACCCAGTGGGAAATATTTCATAATCAAATAACCAAGTTTGTTATAAATACACATGAACTAAAAATCAATAGGCCTCTGCTTGGATAAAGTGCATGCATGGATTTTGGGAAAAACTTTTTCATTTTGTCACTCAAAGGCCTTATTTTCAGTATTCTGGGTGGGTGTCTGACATCAGATAAAAGGGCATTACAGACTTACATTGTAGACTTTCTTTTTTCTCTTTTTTATTAGCATGTAATGTATTATTTGTTTCAGGGGTACAGGTCTGGGATTCATCAGTCTTACACAATTACACTGTAGACTTTTAAAGGGAAATGAAGGCTCAGGACACTTGAGGGCCTCAAGAAAGGCTGTATGTGGTACGAGAGCAAGTGTCTGTATTCCAGGGCCAGACCTCTTTCCACCTCATATATATTCATATGAAGATTTTACTTTCATTCTGGAAAAGAGTATTCCGATACTAAGCACAGAGCTGGCCTCTGTGCCAGTTACTGTAGCCAAAATGACAAGATGCTATTCCCGCTCTTAAGAGGGATGTAGTAAAAGTGTGTGCACCACTAGTGAAAGTATTAAAATGTAAATACCTAAGTTGTAACATTTTACTCTACTTTCATAGAAGGAATTTTATTTTTTACTTATTTTAACTCCAGTATAGTTAACCTACCATATTTATATTAATTTCAGGTATATAGTATAGTGATTTAATAATTCTTTTTTTTTTTTTTAAAGATTTTTTATTTATTTATTAGAGAGCGAGAGCAGGAACACAAGCAGGGGGAGTGGGAGAGGGAGAAGCAGGCTCCCCGCAGAGCAGGGAGCCCGACGCGGGACTCGATCCCAGGACCCTGGGATCATGACCTGAGCCGAAGGCAGAGGCTTAACGACTGAGCCACCCAGGCGCCCGTGATTTAATAATTCTGTACATTACTCAGTACTCATGAAAATAAGTGTACTCTTGGGGCAACTGGGTGGCTTAGTTGGTTAAGCATCTGACTCTTGATTTCGGCTCAGGTCATGGTCTCAGGGTCGTGAGATTGAGCCTCTTCCTCGGGCTCAGCCCATAGTCCGCTTGAGGATTCTTTCTCCCTCTCTCTCCGCCCCTCCCCCTTCTCGTGCTGGAACACTCTCTCTAAATAAATAAAATCTTTTTAAAAAAAAAAGATAAGTGTACTCTTAATCCCCTTCACCTGTGTGACCCATCCCCTCACACACTTCCCTCTGGTAACCATCTGTTTGTTCTCTATAAGTTGAGAGTCTATGTTTTGGTTTATCTTTTTTCTTTATTGTTTTGTTTCTTACATATGAATGAAATCATACAATATTTGTCTTTCTTTGACTTATTTTACTTAGCATTAGACCCTCTAGATCCATCCATATTGTCACAAATGGCAAGATTGCATTCATTTTTTTTTTTAAAGATTATTTATTTGAGAGAGAGAGAAAGAGAGCACGAGAGGGAAGAGGGTCAGAGGGAGAAGCAGACTCCCCGCTGAGCAGGGAGCCCGATGCGGGACTCGATCCCAGGGCTCCAGGATCATGACCTGAGCCGAAGGCAGTCGCTTAACCAACTGAGCCACCCAGGCGCCCAAGATTGCATTCATTTTTATGGATGAATAATATTCCATTGTATATAAATTCACCGCATCTTCTTTACCCACTCATCTATCAGTGGACCCTTGGGCAGCTTCCATAGTTTGGCTGTTGTTGATAATGCTGTGATAAACATAGGGATGCATGTATCTTTTTTTGAATTAGCATTTTCGTTTTCTTTTGTTAAATATCCAGTAGTGGAATTACTGGATCTTACGGTAATTTTTAATTTTTTGAGGACTCTCGAGACTTATACTCCTAGAAGGAGCTCTGGATAGGAAAGTCCCTGGAGACTTGCTTGATGATGTTGAAGTGTGTAATGCCAACTCATGAACTGTAAGCCATTCGGGTTCTACATCTGAACATTTGGAGCAAAATTATTTCTTTCAGTGAAATGTGGGAATTTGGAGATCTTTACAATCATAGCAAACATTTGTATGTATATCAGTACTCTTCTCAAACGTGTTCTCGCTTCTTTTAATTTGGTTCTTGTATCCCTGTGAAATCATGAAGTCAGGTTATCTCCATTTTGTAAATGAAGAAATTGTGGCTTGGAAATACCAGGTGACTTGCCCAAAGTGCTCAAGTACTAAGTGTTGGAGCATATGTTCACATTCAGGATTGGTATGCATGGAATACATGAATGAAATGTGTTGGAATTCCTTAGCAATCAGAACTATTTAAGATGGTGGCATTGGTGTAAGAAATGATAGAGAAGATTAACCCCTAAAAGAGGGTTTTAAAATAGGGGGTTTTAAGTAGAGGGT